GATCCTCTCATAGGGGCCTATTGGCGGGGAGATGAGGGGGGGGGGGGGGAGGGGGGCCACTTTTGGTGTGGGAAGTGGGGGGGAGAACAGCAGCGCCGGCCTGTTTACAACAAGTACCTTACAAGAAATCGAGTCACGGGACATTTTACTATAATAAAAGCTAATGAGATAAATGTGGTAAGGAATTGGGCTCAAGCCGTAAGAGGCACAGGAAATCCTTATGGTTCACGCGTGGTGCTGAGGAATCGTAAATGCACAGGTAAATGGTTGTCCTCGAGAGGTGTCGAAAATGTAGTATAAGCTACAGCAGTAGAGATTCTGGCATTGGTCTAAACCGTGTACAGCACCCCAAGTTACGCCAGACCTTTCGTCAGCCCAGCGCGTTGGCCGCACTACGATCGGAAGACTGGCGAACAAATTGTAATTTTACACGAGTTTCAACTTCAAAGTGTCCACTCTACCAGAGGAGGTACCATCTACGGCTCGCTGTCTGTGTTCAGTTTTCAGCGCGTTTCAACAGCAACCAACACCACTTTTGCGCTACGCGTACGGCAGAGAGTGAGGATGCACGCATCTCCGCAAAGCCGTCACCGACCGACCACCTACTACGACCACGCCGCGATTTTCTCTCCCTATCTTCGGCTCCCCGCCGCCCCCTACTGTCAAAGTGTTGCAGCAGCCTTCCTCACTCCTCACCTACGCACACCCGCCCCACAAAGCGGCACCCCGCTATGCTGGTGTGAACCACTGGAATATGATCCGCCAGCTCCGACTCGAAGACGCTGTAGAAGTTCTCGCTGCCGCCGATGGAGCAGAGCGCGTAGCTGTTGGTGAGCTTGGAGAACACGCCGATCTCGTTGGAGTTCTCGAACTGAGCGCGGGTCGCCATTGCGGCAGCAGCAGGGATCAACGAAGGTAGCTGTAGACCTTGCAGGGTTTGGCTTGGTAACTTTTTGTGCGGCGGGTTGTGGTTTGACTGGCTTTGACGCAAACGTTGCTAAGTGCCCCCCCCCCTGTGCGAATGTCCGATAGACCCGACGGTCGATCGGCGACCGTTCCGGAGAATAGAAGGGGTGGTTGCTGAGATTGGTTCGATTGGCTGCGGGGCACCGACGGGCTGGGGCGGTGTACTGCTGTAGAGGCGTCGACGAAAAGATGCAACCTGGCACGGAGCGATCTTGGGAACGGTCTCTGCTGTGAAAGCAAGGAAAGGGGGCCCGCGACCAATATTAAAAAAATTACGTATCTATCAATCACACCTATCATGGCAGTCGCGTGCCCCTGGGCAATCGCCAAAAGTCCGCTGCACAGCATCCAGGGAGCAGCGAGCACCTTTCTCTCAGTGTGTCAATCTCGCGTACCATGGACGGGGTCAGTTCGGCTTCGCCACGGATAATCATAGGAAAAACCGCCGACCGGCTGGTGAAAGTAGAACAGCCGACAGTTCCGAGAAGCAGCAGCAGCGGCAGTAGTGCTGATCATGGGGTCAGCATGGCTGAAGCTGTCGCAGCGGAGCTAGCAGCAGCGGAGACCGGAGGCACCGGGGGTGGCCAGAACGCAGTTACCGATGAACACCTCTACCAGGACCCAGCTTCATTGAAGTGGAAGATCTTTGAGGCCGTAGCAAAGGCGAATGGGCAACGGTGGGTGCTACAATTGGATGACTCGCGTGTGCAACAGCAACTCTCCCCCCTGCCCCCACTTGCATTTTTTCCACTCCTCCTCTTCCGATTCAATTTCTTTGCAACGTCGTCGCCAGCATGCACATACAGCAGTACTCGGGTATGTTTTTGTATGTAGCACCGACAAGACGCCAACACCGCGGCTGCTGTCGCATCAAAACGCAGCGCTGCTGCTCTTGTTAGCCGTCGTACCGGAGGTAGGAAAGCGTACGCCACGCTGTTTGTCGCTGGTTTGGAACCGGCTGCGGTGCTGCGGTGTGTCCTTACTTCAGGTCTATCACGATGACTCCCCGGCCGGTACAATACTGCTACTGCTGTGGGACATCGTATCGCATCATACACATTCTGCGGGCATTTCAAAAGCCCCCAACCATTCTATGCATTTCGCTCGCCGACTTCTGACCTGCACCCTAACGCATAACCACCGACACCCAGGACATATCCAAAGGTTCGTACGTTCACCACATGTTGCGTCAGACCTGCTTGCGGTGTCGAAGCGAAGTGCCCGGTACACCGGCAGATTCAGCGCCACCTGTTTATCCGTATGCGCATGTACACAGGTACCACGCAGCAAGTAACACACATCACCGCTCAGGAGATATTTACACGCGGCGTAACTCTCTCACCGCTTGTGATTTGTGATCCCGAGTTTTAAGCTAACCAAGCCGACTCTATGGGACCATTGTGTGCACCCGTGTACACCCGTGTGTCCTGATTATAGACCCAGCGATTATTTATATAGCAGTGCTCTCCTTCCTCAGCAGGATCGCTCAAGCTGGCTGCATGATATTTGCAGAGACAAATGATTTTTGTACTGAGAGTTATTAATGCCGGCTCACCCTCGCAATTCACTCGTGAGTTCGCCCTCCCTCCACGCCTGCGCGCAAGTACTGAAAAATCCCACCGCACCACAGCGCGTTCGAGACGTACCGGTCGGCGCTGCGGGACTTGTCAGTAAAATCCCAGCGTCGTACCCAGAACATTGAACCCCCCGCCCGAAAAAAAAAACTCTTGCCAAGCCCTTGCCCTGCACGCCTGCCTGCATGCAACGAAACGCTACCAACCGCACCACAGCGCGTTCGAGACTTACTGGTCGGCCCTACGTGACTTCATGCACGGATGGCTCCCCCGCGGCGGGCTGGACGAAGCCCTGGACGCGTCTCTGGGCGCGGACAACCTGCACCTCCACAACGAGCTCATCCTGTGCCTGCTCAACAACGCCCGGTGCCGCTACCTCCCGGCGGACCTCGTGTCCCAGGTTCCCGCGAGCTTCCGCGGGAAGGTGGTGCATACGACGGCGGCGGCGCCCCCGGCCGCCGCGGCCGCCGCGGCAGCGGCAGCGGAGAAGCCGCCGCCGGCGGCGATACCCCGTCGCCCCGTCCCCGTTCTGAACGGCAGCAACTCGGGAAGCTCGCCGTGCGGAAAGAGCGGGCTGTCCAACGGCAGCGGCGGCGGCGGCGGCAACGGTGCCGCCG